AACTTCGATGGCATGCTGATTGCGTCTGCGTATCGTCTAGGAGAAGCCTCTGTTGGCACGGTGTTGGCTGCTCTCACTCGCGCAAACCCCAAGCATTAAACCACGATGGATATCAACGAGTTCCACAACATTTACGCTCATTCGCACGAGGGTTTGCTTCGCACTACTGCAAAGCGACTAGGTACCAAGTTGGTTGGTGACATGCATGCTTGTTCAGGGTGTTCGATGTCAAAGGCTATTCGAAAAGGAATCGTTAGAGAAACTAAACGTAGATCGGATAAAAAGTTGGGCAGAGTTTTTGTTGACCTGGGAGGAAGGACATTGCGTCCGTAGGGGGTAAACATTATCCCATGATTGTGAAGGATGATTTCACGAGACGTACATGGATGTATTTCCTGAGAAATAAATCAGACGCTGGCAGTGCATTCCGGACTTTTCTTGCGAGTGTGCGTGCTAATGGTGTCCCGTCATTCGTTGAGATTGTTAGATCTGACAACGGAGGGGAGTTTTTCGGGGGGGAGTTTGCATCTGTGTGCAATGAGCTCTTGATCAAACAAGAGTTCACACCGGCTTATAGTCTGCAATATAATGGTGTTGCAGAGCGTGGGCTGGGATTGATAGAAGAGGCCGCGATGGCGGCTCGTATTCAGGCTAAAGTTCTTTTTGGGCATGTGCAGTTACCTAAGACTGATAAACTCTGGGCTGAGGCTATGCACTGGGCTTGCGAAGCGATGAATCACATCGCGTGTTTTGCTAACCCCGACTCTATGTCGCCGTATGAGATGTGGTATGGTGAACCTCGTCCCGCTAGACCGTATCCGTTTTTGAAGCCAGCGCACTGCAGGTGACAGCGACCGATAAAGCTGCTGCCGAAGGGTGAGAGTTGCTTTTATGTCGGTCCTTCGAGAGACCACCCGCGTGATTGTCATAGAGTACTTACGAGGGCTGGGACTATACAGGAAACGAGGGATGTGACGTGGGAGGTGTTGCAGTCACAGCTCCCTCCGCTGCAACCTTCTCTGCCAATAGAGGTCGCAGAGGAGGGAGGGGAGGATAGTGACGACAATGTTGAAACCGAGGTATGGCCGCTTGTAGGAAAAGGAGTTGCTCACACACTTTTGTAACGTGATGCAGTGCCTTCTGGTGCGAGAGTCGAGGAGGTTGAGAGTGTTGGCGCAGGAAGTGTAGGCCCATCATTTTCTGTTCCATCTTCCCCTGCTGAACCGTCGTCCCTCGCGAACA